TTTTCACATACACATTTTTCATGAAATTACTAGCACTGCTCATCATACATCTGCATAAAAAATGAAGTATTTAGCTTATGATGGTCTGTACTAAGTAGCAGTGAAAACATTGGCAAAAAAAGGAAGGTTTGCATTAGAGACACTAGTAGAAAACGGAGCTTTAATACCGGTTTATAAGGGCTTTTAATACCGGTTCTGCAACCGGTACTAAAGAGTGGAAACTAAAGCCCCCCCCTTTAGTACCGGTTCGACACGAACCGCCACTAAAGGCCCACCACGTGGCGTGAGCTCGCGCTGTGGTATGGGGGACCTTTAATACCGGTTTGTGTTACCAACCGGTACTAAAGGTATTATTTTTTTTGAAAATTTTGAAAAAAAAATTGATTTTTTTTGTTTTCAATTTTCTGAATTATTTGATGATTTAGTCTCTAATCGCCCCTCTTAACTACTCAAGTGTGGATCACTCATTCCAAATCATCTAACTTCCCGACCGGTCACCCATCCTCTCACTCCCCAGCCCGAGCACGCTTAACTTCAGAGTTCTATTCCCCCTAATTTCCAAGTCTGCACTTGTTGTTTTCCTGACAAATGTAAGCTGTAAATCCTATTAACCCTCAGCAGTTTAGCTTGAACATTAGGTCACACATTTCACCGTTTGAGTTTGAAACTATTATTCTAAAAAACAGTAATTATTTAGTAATACTAATATTTCTTAAATAAGTTTGACAATAGTTTGACCATAGTTTGACCATAGTTTGACCAGATTTGACCAAAATTCAAAAAATTGAAATAATTATTTAGTAACACTAATATTCTTGAATAAGTATGTAGTAACATTAATACTTCTTGAATAAGTAGTTTGACCATAGTTTGACCAGATTTAACCAAAATTAAAAAAAACTTAAATTTGAGCATATCTTTTTCTCCTTTTGGAATTTGAGGATTCTAAAAAATTGCAAACATGCTATAGGCTGTCAAAATCGGATGCGGATTTTCGTGCTGAATTTTTGAATATATTATACGTTTTTTCCGACATCGTATGCAAAAGTTATAGCCGTTTTACATTTTCCCTACACTTTTTGCAAAAATGTCCAAATTTAAGTTTTTTAATTTTCCTAACTAGTAGATCTAGTAATATAACTTCATCTCGAAGAATTTTATTTTTTGAATTTTTTCTCATTTTCTTTTGTATTTTTCAAAACTGAAATGGCGATATAGGGGGGGTAGAGATTGAAAATTGCCTTTTAGTACCGGTTTGTGCCACGAACCGGTACTAAAGGTGATCGCGGGGCCCCGGCCTGACGCCAGCCTGCCACCACCCCTTTAGTACCGGTTCGTGGCACGAACCGGTACTAAAGGTTCAAAACGAATCGGCATTAATGCATAGCCGTTCGAACCGGCACTAATGGTACCATTAGTACCGGGCCAAAATCGAACCGGCACTAATGTCTCACATTAGGTCGTTTTTCTACTAGTGAGAGTCCAATTAGGGGTTTAAATTTCTGAGTGTTAGGGTACCCTCCAACCCTCAATAGTTCAACCAAATGAAATAAAAGTTTCAAGTTTAGTTAATGTGATATTCTCATTTCCACGTGATTTGTAATTAATAATTGACGGAGTTTGGTAAAGATATTGCTATTATACTGTTGTTACTTAGGTTTCCGTTGCTCATTTGTACCATCAAAAAGGACAATAAACGAGGTGTATGTTATGAAATCACGTGATGAAATGTTTCAAGTTATTGCTTAATTTTTTATAATAGGTCGACTGTTTCGTTGAAGTCATATATGATCCAATGGCTCCTAATGTATTATGTTCATTTTGATTTGCATATTGGAAATTCATGCTCTACAAACTATTTGTAGGTTCTCTACTATTTATATTTCCCATTTTTTATACCTAATAAGGTTAAGTAAAACAGTGATGACTAAGTTAAGGCTCTTGCAACACATTGGAGAGTGCAACAATTCACTTAAAATTGGATCAATATATTAATGCAAGCTACTTTGGCAATCGTAGATGAGAATGGATTTTTTTCCTCTGACATTTTCTAATATGACTAATGAATATGTGATATAGTGTACATCCACAGTTGTATTACTTTTCTAAAAAAATATTGTGAACTTTTTATTTTTCTATATTTAAAATATGTCAACATCCATGTATATAGTATACTATTAATATCTCCACACATTTGCAAAATGACTAGCCCGTGCGGATGCACGGTTGACGACTAGTTAAATTAATTTGCTATTTCACTCTCACCTACTCCCTTGGTAAAGAAATATAAGAGCGTTTAGATCATTCACTACTTGAATGGTCTAAACGCTCTTACATTTCTTTATGGAGGGAACATTTTCTAAATCCCGTTGTCAGTTACTTGAACATTAACAAACTAGCACCATGATCTACATGGAAAACGGTCAAGTTTCTCAGTGGTTGGCCGTTTGCCGAGTGTAAACTCACGGGCACTCGCATATATGTTGTTTGCCGAGCGTCCCACAAGAAAAAGTCTGCAAACAAATTACACCCAGTGC